ATGCTTATGTGTGCTTAGAACTAGCTGTTTGCCTACGACATGCTGACAGTTAATGAGCACTTCTGACTTTACCTACCTTAAGACCTTATCTTTTTTATTTTCTGATGAATATTATCTTTCTTCCTCTCCTCTGTGTGTGTGCTCTCTCCCTCTCTCCTTTCTCTTTCTCTCCCTATGTCTATCTCCTACCCTATCTCCCATTCTCTGAATTACATGCTTAATTTTTCTCTATTGCAGTATTTGCTGTGTTGTGCCTATAGGATATACTGACAACAGACTACTTGTGTTAGGGTCTACAATACAGTATATTCTTTCTCATTCATTCTTGTGCATTCTCTTAGTCCTTTTCTGAATTCTTAAGTGTCAGTTGAATTACTATTGTTAAGTTACTTTCTTGAGTACCTGAATATTTGTGTTTTTTAATTTTTAATTTTTTATTGGTTCTTTTATTGTTGTTTGCTCATTATTCAGCGAGCATCTAAGTGACTCTGAAATTTTGGTTGAAAAACTAAAACCCACTAAACCTTGTGGAAAGATAGCTGTGTGCTACTTTGTTTCAAAGAAAATATTTTCTCTATACCACACTAGAGCTGCTTTTAATTTATAGTTAATGTACCTTGCCAAAATCGAGGATAAGACTTTCCAATACAAATTAAAAGGCTATGTTTATTCTTGCTATTTATGATCTCTAGAGGATTCATGACTCACTCTGTTTTGAAAATGAAAATTATTAGTAATTTTAGCACTTATTTAATAGCAAGTATTTGAACTTTTTATTTGTTGCTTGTCTAAAATATACCTAATACCACCAGAGCCCTAAATTTTTAAGTCACAAGAATATTTTTTTTTTCTGAATATACGTTGAAATGATTTAAAGTTCAAAATCCAGGTAATCTTTAGAGTGGATCGATCCAGTAGAATATAACCTTTTTTAAATTAAGTAAAATGTCTAAAATTCAGTCCCCACATTATGCTTGCAATATTTCAAGTGCTCAGAATCCAGGTACACTAATTAGATTTCATTTGGGATGGTGCAGCTATGGACTTCACAGAAAGTTCTGTGGGGCTGCAGTGCTTTAAATCTTATCTATTATTTCACAGCATTTTTCACAAATCCTTTAGTTCCCTGCAAACTTATTGATTAAAAATGAAGCAAACAAAAGGGCTTCCCTTGAAAACAGTTCATTCCTCCCTCAATGTTTCTATTGTAGTCACAGGATCTTTGTCTGCTCCTCCCCATTTCTGTCAGAATGTAGGCAGGCTTTCAATGCCTACAGCTCCTCAGAAAACTGGCCTTCTGTAGTTTGATTATGATGTATCTCATGTGGTTCTCTTTGTATGTTTTCTTCTCAGAATACATTCAGATTCTCAGATCTTTGATATTATCATTTTTATGAAATTTAGGAGTATTGGGGCATCATATTTTTGAATATTTTCTTCAAGTCCCTCTAGGACTCTGGATATATTTATGATAAACAGCCTGATATCTTTTTCACTCAGCTTTCTGAAGCTATTTACTACATTTTCCCCTCAGTGTTTTCCCTTTTTACTACATTTGGGATATTTCATATTTCTACAGCTTTAAATTTGTGTATCTGTTCCACAGAGACCTGTCATCTGTAATATATATTCATTGAATATATTTCAAACTTTAGAAACAAGAGTTTTCACCTTTAAAAGTATCATTAGGGGGGCTGGAGACATGGCTTAGAGGTTAAGAACACTGACTAGTCTTCCAAAGGTCCTGAGTTCAATTCCCAGATAATGGTTAATGAGATCTGGTGTCCTCTTCTGGCATGCAGGCAGAAAACTATATAAATAATAAATAAAACTTAAAAGTAACATTAGGTTCATCTTTAATTTTTTTTTCTATTGGTAAACTGACGAAACTATAGGAGGAGGTTTTTGTTGGATCCTTAAGATGGCAAGTCTCATGTATCTGATTATTCAAGCTCTATTTTTTAAAGAATGTGTATGCCTTTTGCTGATATGCATTTGGATTGCTACAGAGGTTGACCATTATGTTGTTGTTGTTGTTGTGTGTTTGTGGTTTTATATTTATTTTATTTTGCAGTGATGATCCCAATGAAAATTCTAGGGATTAATTGTCCCCAGTGCTAAGACCCAGTTCTTCCAAGTCAATCTTAATGACCCGAAGTCAATGTTGGCAATCTGCTGCTCCTTGGAAGTCTCCGTTATTCCTAGCCTTTTACATCACCAGCTCACAAATTTTCAACAGCGTTATAATCATGACCTGATATCTGCCCCTTTGTTTGCAGTCTTAGCTATCAGCATAGATTCAAGGTCTTCTCCCAACAGACTTCGCCTTTTTTTTTGGCATAGCTCTTGTCTCAAGAAGACTACCTCATCATTTGAAGCCTTTTCAGAAGCGTTGAAGTCTTCTTTTTGACTTCTCATGTCACTGAGCCTACAATGTGTGCTTGCAATAACCCCTACTACCAACTGTTCATTGCATATGTACCTTGTTTACCTGTCCAGGCAGCAAAAGAGACAAATCAAGGCCTTACTTTTTCTTTCAGATGCCACAGCTCTTCACTGCTTGAGCTTTATTTAATCTAATTGTTCTTGCATCTCACCTAGTAAATCTTTGCCTAAGAGATGATTGTCAATCATAGGTATTGTCTAAGTAACAGATGTTTGATTTATATTTACCTGTTTTATAGGTATTTGAGTCATTTGGTTTCCATGTCATCGTTTGGTTTTATGTCGTTGTGGTTGTGAGAATCTTTCTTTCATGGACCACAAATTTATATAATAGAGGTGCATATGTTAGATAATTCAGTAGTAGTGTAGGAAAAATAGAATAGCAACTGATTCAATGATAAATTTTTGAAAATGCTGATGTGATAATGCATATAATTTTAACAGAATTCTCATGTACATGAAGGTAAAGTATTTTCCACAAAGCTTTCTTAAAGAGATAAAAGCCTACAAATTTCAGCGTACCTTGTACCCTCAATTATGCTAAAAATTATCATTTTTTTTACAGGGCTTTTCTATGTAGGTCAGGAATGTGTTCTATCTGGCTGACTTGGAACTCACAGAAGTCAGCTTGTTTCTGTATCCCCAGTTCTGAGAATAAAGGAGTATATCATTATGCCTGCCTCTATTCAGTGTCTTAAATTTGTCGTGAGATTCATATATTTGGTAAGAAAAAAAAAAGTATAAAGGTAGCACAGTGGCATTTATAAGGAGATCTCAGAGTGAAAGTGCAACCTCACACTGAATTGTTCCACAAACCATTAGTGCGACCTCATCCAGGTGACCTCATCTAAGAGTTTCCATGACTGCTTCCTAACCAGCACAGCCCTGACTACAAAATAAATGTCAGCCGTAAGGACTGCTTACACTTGACTATATCACGGATTTGGTATTTCAGAAAACATTTGCTATACAATGATAAAATAAAAATGTGTTTTTTGGAGTTTGTATTACTGATATTGACCTGTACTAGTAAGAAAGGGAATCTACATTAGATTACACAAAGTTGATGTTTTAGCATTTTTCTTGCATTTTCAAATATTTGTTATGAGTTATGTAATAGGTATAATTTAATGATTAGAAAAGAATAGTAGTTTTAATTTCTACAATTCTAGCTTGGATATTTCACGATGAAAGTACAAGTCAAATGCAGCTAAGCTGGAATAATATAAGTCAGTTTTAAAAATAGCTCTTTTAATTATTTTCTTTAATTTTCATGTAAATGGTGTAATGTTTTATTAGATCTACCTTCATTATAATGATATATATGAGTCTACTTTGAAATAAAGTTATAATAACCTCAGATGTAACAATGAATAGTTTTATATGAAACATTTTAATGCTCTTAGATTGTGCTTGATTTCAAGAGCACTTCTTTTAAATGTGTAGTGAATGATTTTTTTAAGCATACATGATATGTGGCTTTGAGACTTCTAGTATATTAGCAACCAAATGAAAAGTGTCATTTAAAATGATTCTTAAGCATTATTGCATTTGTTATTTTTTAGCTGAAATATTTTAAAATAGAGTGTTAACATAAATATGTTTGTAACTGTCACCAAGAAAATGTGACAATTGGCTGGCCTTCAGCAATGACTGCCCCCACCTAGGTGTAAGCCTCCTAGGTTTATTGTTTCACATAGTGGTTTCTCTAAACAGAGAGGTGCCTGGGAAAACATTAACACTCAATAAATATGTCTATGGACTCTAAGGCCTTCAACAAAACCTTCATTGAGTTTACTTAAAACACAAGGCAGAGAGGAAAAGTCCCAGTTCTACTGTGCATATTTTCTGAGTCTTGATGAATAATGGCTGTACATGTATCTTTTTGTTTACATTTAACTGTGGTAAAATAAATTATAGGTTCAACTTAATGTCAAGAAAATAACTACTGATTCTTTCTTTACGCAAAAAAATCTTTATCAAACTCCTGATATTAACAACTTTTCTCTTTTCATTTTATAACCTTTAATAGAATTAGAGGTTGTTGGCTTCTGCCTGTAGGGTTCTTCTGGAGACGCAGATAATCAGTGTGCCTGTTATGAGCACATAGAGTGCACTGCCTGTGTTCATCCCTTTTCATTAGACTTAGACATCCAGACCATCATGCTCTTTTGTTTGTTTCACAGAATAAATTGGATTATTCCTTACTTTTTTTTTTTTTTTTTTTTTTTTAGCAAACAAATGTAGGTATACTTAAAAGTAAAACAACTGCTAAGCATACAGTCATTTTGGGGACTGAGTTTTGTATACAAAATTGAGGCATTAAAATTTACATGTAATTAATTATGAGAATTTTCTAAGGATTTAGTCAAGTGATGTGTCCTTTTATATTACATTATATTTACTTTATATTACTATTTTCTTTTTAACAAAATGATCAGTCATACTCAGGGATTTGTTTCCAGGTGACAATTTGATACCTGTTCAAAGCCAGAAATACCTCTTTAATTTATTTATATTATTTTCTGATTTGTTTGTTTGTTTGTTTGTTTAAGGATTAAAACAAGGTGAGCCAACCATGACGGGCAAAACACAGACCAGCAACGTTACCAATAAGAATGACCCCAAGTCCATCAACTCCAGGGTTTTCATCGGCAACTTAAATACAGCCATTGTCAAAAAAGTCGACATTGAAGCTATTTTTTCAAAGTATGGAAAAATCGTTGGCTGCTCCGTTCACAAAGGGTATGCTTTTGTTCAGTACATGAGTGAGCGCCATGCAAGAGCTGCTGTGGCTGGAGAAAATGCCAGGGTCATCGCAGGCCAGCCTCTTGGTAAGCTGTGCTCAGCTGAGCGTTTTATTCCGGTCTATCCACATTGGCTGTATGGGCTGAATTTGTTAATGGTCAGCAACTCTATAATATATATTGCTTCCTTAACCAATTCTGATACAGGAAAACACAATACATGAATCTGATTTAAGTTTTGACTTGAAATAGTGTGTGACATTCACAAAACACATGCTGAGTGCAATGACCTGGAGTACAAGATGGGTTCTGAAAGGATAATTCATCTTCCTTATTTATGCTTTTTTTATTTAGGAAGCATGTTTAAAAAATAGTAAAAAGAAATACATTTTGCAGACTAGAAAGGATCTCAACTCATTATTTCTTAAAAGGTTAGGAATGATGTATATTACATTTTCTCTATGCACCCTAGTGTTCATCTTATGTGTCATGCCCAAGGAATAATACTGAAGTTTTGCTAAGAAAGTACAGTACCTTGTGAGGTGAAATAAAAATTAGAAGAAAACTTTTGTAATTATTGAAGAGACAGAAACATTAAAATTTTATATAATTTCCCATGTGAAAATGCAATCAATCAGTATTTAGCTAGTTTATATTTCCTATAACTGTCATCACTATCTACATGAGTTATCTCAGTTTATGATATTGCCTTTTTATGTTCATAAGCATGAAGCCAAAACAGTGTGTTAAAGAAACAATTAGATGTACTGAATAATCAAGTGAGACAAGCAGGAAAATACTATACTATCAAATTTCCTTAATTGGTAACAGTTTAGGAAAATGTTTGCTGACAGGAATAGTGGAACACAGCTATAAATCCTGGCACACAGGAGTCTGAGGTACAAAGATGGAGAGTCTCCAGTCACCTTTGGTTATACAGTGAGGGGAAAACAAACATTGGAAAGCTCTGGCATTCATTGAAATGTAAGTGAAGTCTGAAGTATACTTTTGAAGAAGTAAAATGAATTTTATATAATATCTGATATAAATCCCCAAACATATATAATGTGAAATGTTAGCTTTTATTTACATCTTCATTGTTCATTTTCTCTAGAGTAAAAAAAAAAAAAAAAAAAAGATGATATTTACAAACACTATAGTCTGTTTTCCAGGTGCTCATTTGGTTCCATTAATAACTACAGTTCCTGGCTCTTTGACCTCCCCACCCCCCAAGGGAGGAGCAGTCCTGTTAGGCCACAGAGGAGGGCTTTGCAGCCAGTCCTGAAGATACCTGATAAAACAGGATCAGATGAATGGGGAGGAGGCCCCCCCCCATCAGTGGACTTGGAAAGGGGCATGGTGGAGATGAAGGAGGGAGGGAGGGACTGGGGGGGAATGAGGGAGCTGGACACGGCTGGGATACAGAGTTAATAAAATGTAACTGATAAGAAAAAAAAATAAAATTAAAAAAATAACTACAGTTCTCACACAGTACCTTGATATTGGAGTTTTCTGGCTGTTTGCTTCTTTAGAAAGTGTTGTAATAAAAAATTTCTTCTTAAGAGCAACATTCTAGATAATTTCAGGGTCAGTCTATTGCCTGTATCCTTATTACTGTGAAACTAGCCTGACCTTGTAGAAACACATTTGTTTATTACTCTTTTTAAAATGATTATAATTGTAAAGTCAATGCTAACTCTGACTCCCTTGGAACTGAACTGAGTTAATTCTTTGGAGTCCTGCTTTCCATCACCACCCAGCTGATCACTATCTTTAAAAACATTGAACAGACAAAGAGACAGGAATATAACTCCAACTTTATTGCCTTAAGTTTGCAAAGCCTACGCATAAAAATGGTGTTCTCAGATCCCTGTGCATTGGGAAGCAGAGTTAAATGCTGCCTCATATGGTATGTTTTTTTTTATTCACAGCCATACCCATACCTCGTCTTGGTATTTCACTCAGGATAATCTCAAGAGCATATGCCTTAATCAAACTTTATATCCAAATCCATACTAAAGACTTTATTCATTTAGGTGGAACCTAGTTTATTAACATTTTTTGCCTAAGTGAGAAGACTTTGTTAAGATGCAGGTGCTTTGCAATTTAAATATTAACTTGGCTTTTCAGGTCAAGTACCTGAATATAATCACCTCTCTTAACCCTGATTACTAAAAATTCAGGCAAAGGCAAGACATCCAGTTGTTCCCAGTTGGAGTGGATTCCTCAGTAAGGTGGGGTGAACTTTCCGTGCTGCATTCTCACTTTTATCTCAATTACCATGCACATTTTTTTTGTTGATTTTGGCAAAACATCACCCTAAGTAAATTGATTGCTTATTTACACATATTTATTTAAACTGACGGTTTATACTTGTACCATGTGCAGTGAATTGATGATGGTCATAATGACAGGTTAGTATGATGTGAAACACATACTGTCTAATTATATAAATGTCTTCTGTAGAGCAATCTTTGTTTTTTAAGGATTCCAACCTTACAAGAAATGAACACTTTTTATTTTTTACAGTTTATTCATTTTATATCCCAATTGAAGCCCCCTCCTTTATCTCCTTTTGGTCTCACTCTCCCTTTCTTCCCCTCTCTACCCTTCCCTTAGTCCACTGAAAGGGGGAGCTCTACCTCCCTGACATCTGCCCCTAGCTTATCAAGTCTCATGAGGATTGCCTGGATCCTCTTCCTCTGTGGCCTGGCAAGGCTGCATTACCAGGGGAAAATGATCAAAGTTCAGACAATCGAGTTCATGACAGAGGCGACCCCTGCTCCCCTTACTCAGGAACCCACATGGAGACTGAGCTGCCTATGGGCTACATCTGAGCAGGGGGTCTAGGTCCTCTCCATGCATAGTCCTTGGTTGGTGCATCAGTCTCTGCAGGACCCCGTTGGTTCAGAATTTTTAGCTTTGTTGGTCTTGTGGAGCTCCTGTCCCCTCTGGGTCCTTCTAACCCCCCACCCCCCGTCTTCAGTCATAAGACTCCCTACTCTCTACCCAAAGTTTAGTTGTGGGTCTCAGCATTACCTTGTTGGGTGGAGCCTTTCAGATGACCTCTATGGTAGTCTCCCCTTCTGTTCCCTCTCTTCCACCACTTTTGGTATCTATCCTGGTTGCCATTCTGAATGAGATTTAAGAACCCTTCTTAGGGTTCTACTTATTGTTTGGCTTCTTTTTTTCTTTTCTTTTTTATTTTTATTATTAGTTATATTTTATTAACTCTGTATCCTGCTTCCTTATTCCCTCCCAATCCCACCCTCCCTCCCTCATCTCCTTCGGATAGGACCTCCTCCCCTTTCATCTGACCCTGTTTTATCAGATATCTTCAGGACTGTAGCTTGTAGTATGGCTATCCTATATTATATGGCTAATATCCACTTATAAGTGAATGTGTACCATGTGTATCTTTCTGGTTCTGAGTTATGTCACTCAGGATGATCTTTTCCAGTTCCATCCATTTGCCTGTAAATTTCATGATTTTCTTGTTTTTAATAACTGAATAGTATCCCCTTGTGTAAATGTAGCACAATTTTTGTATCCATTTTATGTTGAGGAACATCAGGTTGTTTCCTGATTCGATTCATTACAACTAAAGCTGCTATGAACAGAATTGAGCAAATGTCCTTGTTGAATGGTAGAACATCTTTCGGTTATGTGCCCAGGAGTGTTATAGCTGGATCATGAGGTAGCACTATTCCCAGTTTTCTGAGAAAGCACCAGATTGGTTTCCAAAGTAGTTGTACAAATTTGCACTCCCCACAGCAATGAAGTATAGTTTCACTTTCTCCACATCCTCACCAGTATGTGCTGCCAATTGAGTCTTCAATCTTAGCCATGTTGACTAATATAAGATGGAATCTCAGAGTTGTTTTGATTTGCATTTCCCTGATGAGTAAGGATTATGAACATTTCTTTAAGAGTTTCTCAGACATTTGATAGTCCTCTGTTGAGAATTCTTTGCTTTGTACCCCATTTTTTTTCCAATGGATTATTTGATTTGTTGGTCTAATTTCTTGAGTTTTTTATATATTCTGGATATTAGTCTTCTGTTAGATGTAGGGTTGGTAAAGATCTTTTCCCAGTCTGTAGGCTATTGTTTTGTTCTGTTGACAGTGTCCTTTGCTTTACAGAAGCTTTTCCATTTCATGAGATCCCATTTACTGATTAGACCCTGAGCTGTTGGTGTCCTGTTCAGGAAGTTGTCTCCTGTGCCAATGAGGTCAAGGCTCTTCCTCACTTTTTCTTCTAACAGATTTAGTGTATCTGGTTTTATGTTGAGGTCTTTTATCCACTTGAACTTTAATTTTGTGCAAAGTGATAGAAATGTGTATATTTGCATTTTCTACACATGGATATCCAGTTAGACCAGCACCATTTGTTGAAGATACTATCCTTTTTCCATTGTATGAGTTTGGCATCTTTATAAAAAAATCAAATCAGGTGTCAGTTGTTATGTGGGTTTATATATGGGTCTTCAATTCGATTCCATTAATCGACCATTCTGTTTCTATGCCAGTACAATGCCGTTTTTATTATTGTTGCTCTAAAATACAGCTAGAGATCAGGGATGGAGATACCTCCAGAAGATCTTTTATTGTACAGGATGGTTTTAGCTATTCTGGGTTTTTTGTTTTTCTATATGAAGTTCAGAATTTTTCTTTCAAGTCTGTAAAGAATTGTGTTGGTATTGTGATGGGAATTGCATTAGATCTGTAGATTGCTTTTGGTAAGATGGTCATTTTTACCATGTAAATCCTACCATTCCATGAGCATGGGAGATATTTCTATCATCTGATATCTTCTTCTAATTTTTTCTTCAGAGACTTGAAGTTTCTTTCCTACAACTCTTCCACTTGTTTCATTAGAGCTATACCAAGATACTTTATGCTTTTTGTGGCTACTTTGAAGGGTATTTCTGTCTTATTTCTTTCTCAGCCCATTTGTGTTTTGTATATAGGAGGGATACTGATTTTTTTTAAGTTAGTTTTGTATCCAGCCACATTGCTGAAGGTATTTATCATCTGTAGGCATTCTCTGATAGTATTTTTGGGGCCACTCATGTACACTAGCATATC